GGAGGGCCAGGAGCGCTGCGGCCCGAGTGCGCACGCGCCGCCTTCAGAGACGGGGGTGGGCGGCACCTCCACAGTCTTGATTGGCTGCTGTGCCATGAGCCCCGCCCTCTTGGACCCGCCCAGGCGGTGGTCATCAACCGTGCCGCAGGTGAAAACAAGGGTAGGAACCTGGTCCTAACCTCCCTGTCTTCGCTAACGCTTCAGCGATGTCCCAGATCCCTTTCCGCACCCACGGAGACACCAAAGGCATTTTTCTGGGCGTCTGCCAGGCACCAGGCTCTGACACTAAGCAAACGTCACGTCTACACAGTTCTCCAGAATGGGGTCGCTTTAATTCCTATCTGACCGAACAGAAAGCCGGTGCTTCAGCCACCTGCCCAGAGTCGGGATCCGAGACCACCGCGTCGCCTCCGGGGCGTCCACGGGACAGTCCTTTCAAGCTCAGAAGCACGTGCTTGTCTAACGCAAGACCCATTTTCTAGTGCTACCTGCCGTACCTGGGAAGGCAAAGATGAGCAGCTCGTGATTTGGAGGCTCCTGGGCGTTGTGTCGGGGGTGGGGGCAGTTTAGCAGCGAAGTACAACTGGTTCACCTCCCCGCTGTGCCTTGCAGTCTGCAGGAGAGCCTGGGATTCAGTGCTTGCGCTAGAGTGGGAAAATGATAGGGACCTGCCTGCAAAGCTGTTAAAATGGAACATGGGTGAAAAGCAAGCGTCTGAGAACCTGGCTGGGAGGCACTCCGCGAGTCTAGGTCATTTTTATCTCTTTTTTATTGGTATGTGTTTGCAATATATAATAATTACAATCATCTTGGTAAATTGGTACATATACATATCTCCTCTTAGTCATTATGTTTATCTCTGCAGACATTTTAAAACAAGTTGGGTGTGGTGGTGCACTCCTATAATTCTAGCCCTCTGGGAGGCCGAGGCCGGAGGATCTCAAGTTTGAGCCCAGTCTGAGGAATTTAGCAAGACCCTGTCTCAAAATAAAAAAAATAAAAATAAAGACAGGCTGGGCGTGTAGCTCCAATCCCCGGGTCGGGGTGGGAGGATATTGCCCGCCAGTACCTGTATTGTATCTTGCAGAAACAGATTAATAAATACACACTTCAGAGTTTAAAGTAGATGCTTCCCCTCCCCGAGGAGCACACACTCTTCACAAACCAAATGTCAGGGCATCTTTGCTAGTCAACGCTAGCCATTGTTGGTAGTGAGATAACCAACAATGGTTATCTTGAGATGATCAAGTCTGAGAAAAGGCCATGTGGAGGATGGGGGAAGAGGAGGTGTATCCTTCCAAGGTGGATTCATTGATTACCCCCATTGTCAGATGACCAAGAACAGCACTACCCCTGACTGACTCTTCCTGCCTACCAGTGTCCGGTACACCTTTCTATCCATCCATTCCTTCAATAAATATTTATTGACGAACTACATAAATATGAGTGTACAAGTGTGAATTTGCACCTTTGACTCTCAGAATTTTTTTCTATTTTATTTTATTATTATTATTTTTGTACCAGGAATTGAACTCATGACCTCGTGCTTGCCAGGCCGGTGCTGTGCCGCTGAGCTATATCCCTGGCTTTATTTTAACTTTTTTTTTTGGTCTTTTTGAGACAGGGTCTCACTATGCAGTTCAGGCTGGCCTTGAGCTCACTTTGTAGCTCAGGTTGGTCTCGAACTCGCAACAATCCTGCCTCAGCCTCCCGAGTGCTGAGATTACAGGCGTGTGCCACCATGCCCAGCTCCCTGGCTTTATTTTAAAATTGCAAGGATGATGACTGAGTACTGTGAGGTGTTCTATGAGTACCATTTGTCCTTCCTCACACCAGCAATTCCTCATAAATCCCAGTTGCCTCATCCAGGCTCTGGAAATGGCAAACTTTCCAGCTCTCCTTAGGGGTACCTGCTTAATTTTTCTTAAGTATAGTGTGGTGTCTATATTTGCACCATGCTCATAAAGTACCTGTTTCCTAAGAAATTGACACAATACCAACATGTAGTTCAGTAGGGTAGAATATTCATTTCAGGAACATTTGTGTAGCATGTAGGAGTGAATACTAAGCTGGGAATACCAAGCTGCAGAAAACATCACTTCCACCCCAAGTTCACAGCCTTAGAGGGGAGAAGAGTGTCGTATTATTGCAATGTCCCACAAATAGTGTGTGACTTGGTGCTATGAAGCCACAGAGGAGGGAAAAATGAACTCGCCAGCTGGGCTTATGGTATCTTTACAGAAGAGGCAACATTGAACTAGATCTAAAACGAGTTTTTTCGTGAAAAGAAGGGAGAACTCCATTTGATATAGCGTTAGAAAATTCTGAATTTCATTCATTCATTCATTCATTTCATTCCCCCAGATTGCAAATCAGTAAGAGGAAAGTTGTGAAAAACTTGAATGCCCATGAAAAGAGATTGGGTAAGCCATTGTATTTCCAGGTCACAGAAAGCATGTCTGACATTCATGGTCATATTCAAGGTAACTACCTAATGACAGACCAAATTCTATATCCTGTTGGTGGTGGCAGTTACGCTGCCATATGCTTTTCTCAAAACTGGCAGAACCACACTGATAGTGTATGTAAAGTATGCTGTTATTGTTGTGTTGAAGAAACTTTTCGTAAGAAAGCAAGTTGCAAACAAGTGTCCATAATGTGCCCCTAAATTTGAAAAAGAAAACAGTCCATTAGTACCGTTTTGTTGTTTACTATTATAGCTATTTGCTGTGCTGAGGATCAATTATTTGTATCTTTCTTGGCCATGGTTATCTTGAATGGAGCTGTGGTTAGAGTTTTCATTCCCTGCTTTGTGCTAGTCTGTATTTTTCAGACTCTTTACTGTGCGTGTGCATTCTTTTTAATCATTTGTAAACCACCACCAACAACAACTCCCCCCCACCGGTGTTATTTTGATAAAACCTAGGCAAGAAAGAACCATGGAAAGCTACTTTCAGGAAGCTAAACTGACAGTTAGATGTAGTTATACTACCTCTCAGAGTATTTAGCTGACACACATTTCAGAGACTTTGTCAGGAAAATGAAGAAGATAAACAACGTTTTCCCTACAATTCTATTAAAGGGTTGATAAAGGAAATTTAATAGTAAGTGTAGTGAGAGAGCACAGAATTTATTACTATACCTGAGATTCTGGTTTTGTAAACGAAGCTCCTGCAGGACCTGCCTGCCTCCATCCTCTGGAAGCCATCTGGATGATATAGTTAATCATTGCTATGATTCAGATGTGGTCTGTCCCCCAAGGGTTCATATACTAGAAGTTTGGTCCCCAGTGTGGCAGTATTCAGAGGTGGTAAGCAGAATCGTTAAAGGTGAGGTCTAGCTGAGCACAGTGCTCTGTGCCTCTATTCCCACAACTCAGTGACTGAGACAGGAGAATCACAAGTTCCAAGCCAACCTGGGCAATGTAGAGAGATCCTGTCTTAATGAAAAGATTTTTTTTTTTAAGAAAGGGATGGAGAACTTGCGTAGCATGTACAAAGCCCTGGTTCAATCCCTAGTTCTGGAAAAAATAAAATAAAAATGGGACCTCATGGAAGATCACATTATTGGAGATGTGTCTTCGAAAGGGAGTAATATAGTTCTTATGACACCCTAGTGAGTTCTTGTGAGAGTGTGTTGTTATAAGTAAAACTGGCCTTTCCCAGCTCTCTGGCTTCCTGTCCAGCCATGTGTACTCTGTAGTGTGTGTGTGCCCACCATTGTGATGCAGTCAGCTATGAGGCCCTCACCAGAGGCCTGCAAAACTGCAAGTTAAGTAAACTTTTATTTGCAAGGTATTCAGCCTTGAGTCTTTTGTTATAATAGCAGAAAAGGGACTGATGCATTCATCAGCTAACTGTGTGCATTGCCCAGGACCCCTTTTCCTTTCCAGAGATGCAAGCAGCTCAAGAAAGAGGCCCCCTGCCAACATCAGGGTGTGTCCTGACCTACCGGAAACATGTGGATGGCCCTGTGCCCGCACAGCTAGGAAAGGTCTGGGCTGGAAGAGCAATGTAAGGCAGATGGTGGAGGACAGTGAAGCCCAAAGATGCAGAAGGATTTTCCCAGGGCCAGGGATACAGCTCAAGTGCCTGCCTGGTGAGTGCAAGGTCCTGAGTGTGATTCCCGGTACCAAAAAAAAAAAAAAGGCTTTGCCCATGGACAGATGGTTCAGAGATTTTGTAGCAGAGCTGGGGCCAGAGCCTTGGTGGAACCTGGGGCTCTTGATTTCTAGTACTGTCCCTGCCTTATCATGACAAAGGAATGGCCTCTTTAAAGGACAACTGAAGTGTATTTATCAGTGAGTCTCCTGTGCTGCCAAGTTAGTACAGTCACCAGGACAGAGAACAACCACTGTACTTATTTAACCCATTTCCTCTTCCTCCTCTTCTTCCTCCTCCTCTTTTCCTTCTTCTTCCTCTTCCGCTTTTCCTCCTCTGCCCCTCATCCTTCCCCTCCCCTGTCTCGCCTTCCCTCCCCATACTGGGGATTGAGCCCAGGGCTTTCACACTTAGCTACACCCCCAGCCCTTATTTTATTTTTTCTTTTAAAACAAGATCTCACTAAGTTCCTAAATTGCCCAAGCTGAGGTTGAATTTGGAATCTTTCTGCCCCAGCCACCCAGATTACAGGAATTACAGCCATGCACCACCTTGCCTGGATCTTGTTTCCTTTTTGAGACAGTTCCCACAGGGCCACTCCTGCCCTCTTCCCACTGTCAGCCAAGGAAACTGAGGTCCTATGGCTGCTCAGCCAGGGA